ACTCCTGATCAAAATACCGAAGAAAGGCGATCTCAGCAAGTGTGATAACTACAGGGGCATCACTGTTCTCTCAATACCGGGAAAAGTCTTCAACAGAGTATTGTTAAACAGGATGAAGGACTGCGTAGACGCCCAACTTCGTGACCAACAGGCAGGATTCCGTAAGGATAGATCGTGTACAGACCAAATCGCAACTCTATGGATCATTGTGTAACAATCAATTGAATGGAATTCATCACTCTACCTCAACTTCATTGACTACGAAAAAGCATTTGATAACGTGGACAGAACAACACTATGGAAGCTTCTTCGACATTACGGCATGCCTCAGAAGATAGTCAATATCATACAGAATTCCTATGATGGATTACACTGCAAAATCGTGCATGGAGGACAGTTGACAAAGTCGTCTCAATATACACAAAGGGAAGAGCAGGATTCTCCGATACAACACAGAATGCACCAATCCAATCAAATTTGACGGAGACGATTTGGAAGATGTAAAAACGTTCACATATTTTGGGCAGCATCATTAATGAACAGGGTGGATCTGATGCAGATGTGAAGGCGCGGATCGGCAAAGCAAGAGTAGTATATGTATATTTGAAGAATATGTGGAACTCGAAATAATCGTCAACAAACACCAAGGTCAGGATTTTCAATACAAATGTCAAGACAGTTCTACTGTATGGGGCAGAAACCTGGAGAACTACGAAAGCCATAATCCAGAAAATACAGGTGTTTATTAGCAGTTGTCTACGCAAAATACTTCGGATCCGTTGGCCGGACACTATTAGCAGCAACGTACTGTGGGAGAGAACAAACCAGATCCCAGAGCAGGAAGAAGTGCTGGAAGTGGATTGGACACACATTGAGGAAAGAACCCAACTGCGTCACAAGGTGGAACTTTCCACTTGGTATTCAACAGTTTTATTCAACCTCATTCAGAGTATGAAAATACAGTGTTTCCCACCTCCCTTCAATAGGATAAGAATTCATTAGAATGTATCCAAGGGTGAGCCAGGTAATCAATTCTAAGACTTAACTTCAAGTCTTTGGAAGAGTGTCTCAAATCACTAAACACTTACTCATTAGACTATAGGTGTCTTAGAAGTGACCTTCTAACGAAGTACAGCATCCTAAACACTCCTGAACATCCTACTGAAGATGACACAGGTATTCAGTGTTTGACAACGCTTCTACCAGTAACACCTTCTAATATAATTCGTAACCACGCAGAGAAATCAAAAGACAGAGTCGAGGAGATCGGAAGAGTGTATTTGGCGATAACCAATATATCGGAATTCTCTGATCTAATCTGGCTAGCGATTGTGGTAGATGTTGAGCACGGCGTTACCACACGTGATTAGGTACGGATGCCTGACCGAGCGCCTTCAGCTAGATGAGTCCACTAAAACATGTGGTCAGCATCCAATGTCGAAAAATTACAGAGCTACTTATTTTAGGGATTTATTTACCGCTACAGATCACTCCCCCCTAGTGGGTTGGTGATGACCCTAAGACGTGGCCAGCCAGAAGTTTAAACCCAACGAGTTTTCGTTGGTAAACACTCTTCTGATAGCTTGCTAGAATTAGCAGCGTCTGGTCGTCTTTCCTTACTACATGGGACCGAGGTACAACATAGTAAAAAAAGAAAATGTACAATGAAAATTTCGGCTCCTCATAAACGTCATCGTTCTTTTACAGCCGTTCTGGAAAAGAAAAAAGAAAATGTAAGTGCATGTCAAAATAAACTTGTATGTACGTAAAAACACAGTGTCGGCGAGAAAAATATAAACTAATTTACACTTAATATCGTGAAAAAAAATCATGTTTTTTTTAAATAAACATATATAAGCATATTAAAATTGTTTTTTCTTTTTAAATATATTATATATCGTAAAAAGAAAGATCAAGATAATATTAAATGTCTAGTAGTGCCTAACTCTTCTTCCAGAACGCGTCGTTTTAAGTTTATTTTCGGATACATTCGGAGTATCATCGCGCATGTTGGTTGTCGATTGAGGAATTATGAGTGGAGTCGTGTCGTTCAATTTTACCGAAGGAAAATCGACGTAGATAGGATTTCCTTCTAAATACGCTGCTTTGAGGCGATTGATGCTGATGCTGATTCGAAAGGTCGTCGATGCGAGTCTCGACGAACGTAAACGTGTGTACTATATCGTGAGTCAGGTTGAACGAAAACATCAGTTGATTGTGGTAGAGTGGAAGCAGGTTTAACTGAACGCATTGCGTTTGTAAGCTTGTTCGTGTAGGAGGTTAGATCCATGTTTATTGAAGAGGACGAAGGATTCACGGATTCTCCTGTAAGTCGAAGTGTCGTTCCATAAACGAGTTGAGCCGCAGTGTATCCAATGTCAGTTTACACTTCATTGCGGATACCTAGTAAGACGAGTGGAAGAGCGTCGGTCCACTGTGAAACGTTTGCAGCTGATAGTAAATCTTTTAGTTGTCAGTGAAAGCGTTCTACCAACCTGTTTGCTTGTGGGTGGTAGGCGGTCGTTCGGAAGTCGATTTTTGAAAAGACAGTTGTACCTTTCAAGGTAGCTGTCAAATCGTGAATGTGAGGCAACGGGTAACGATCGGGAATGGTTTTCGCATTCAATCGCCGATAGTCACCAGTTGGACGCCAATCGTTCCTGTCCTTTTTAGGGACCATGTACAACGGAGATGCATATGGGCTACTTGACGGTCGTATGATTCCTAAGTCTATCATACGGTCGAACTCGTTTTTCCCAACCTTAACTTTTCGGGAGCTAGTCGCCGTGCTTTAGAAAATACAGGTGGTCCTGTAGTCGTGATGTGATGTGTAACGTTGCTGGTTACACACGGTAGCTTCGGTTGAATTTGTTGTATCCCAGGGTACTTATCGAGTAGTGGTTGATAGAGTGGGTCTATCATATGTTTACTTGTGACTAGGGATAATTTGCAACCAGAAAAGGAAGTTACACAAACGGACAAATCAGTGTTTCCGTCTACTGGCCTCCGTTTGCGCGTATCGATGATCGGATTATGGTGTTGTAGAAGGTCCATACCAATAATTGGCATAGAGACATCTGCAACAACGAAGATCCAGTGGATGGGTTTGCGTAAACCCACGTTAAGGTAAAAACGTACCTTTTGCCATACGTAGCGATCGGTTTTCCGTTTGCCGCCTGTAAGTTTAAAGCCGATTTGTGAAGTCGGTCGTTAGGATTTGCTAAGAGAACGCTAACTTCTGCGCCAGTGTCGACGAGGTAGCGAACTCTCGTTGTCACATCTGTGACGTATAACAGACGGCTATGTTCGCCGGCTACGGTTGCCGTTAACGCGTGCCGGCTTGGAAGTTTCCCGAATCGCTTTTTGAATCAGTCGGTTTCGTGTTGGCAAAATTGCAGGGTTTTCTGCAATTTCTGGAAAGCTTTCCATACTGGTTATGATACCAGCACCAGTCGTGGTCATCAGTCTCTCGTGGTCTAGAGATAGATCGCTTACGTGAAATGCTTCTACGCAGGGTGTGCGAGCGATTACGGTCGTTACGACGATTAAGATAACGCGTGAGTGTGTGACATAAGTCGTTTATATCATTCTATGTCGTTTTAGATTTTTCTTTGACTGAAAATACCTCAGTAGTAGATTTCGTAATTTCTAAAATGCGGTCGGCAGATGCAGCTAGCTCGTCTAAGGCGTTGTTCTGAAACGAGATCAGAACCGCTTGCACCTGTTGGGGAAGTTTAGACAAGAAGAGTTGTTTGAATAAAGCTTCGTCGAAAGTTCTTGTGCATACCACCTCTCCCATTCCTTGCAACATGTCCGTCGCAGAACCGTACTGCAGGTCTATGTTATTAAGGAGTTGATCTAACCTTTGTCGATCGGTTAGGTCTCCTCGTTTAAGAATCGAACGTTTTAAGGTTTCGTAAGGTTTAGAAACATCACTAGTAAACATACTAGGTGTTACGTACCTGTTGAATTCCCGCGGTAGTGCCTTGACTACTGCGAGGAATTGTGCACGCGTGTCGTTCACGCCGTGCTCGTGGAAGTCGGCTTCTGCGTAACAGAACCAGGCTTCGATGGTGTCGGGCCAGAAAGGCATGAGTTGGAACGAGGGTGGGGACATGGTTTTAATCTTAAATAACTTAGGAGTCTGTTCAGTCATAGGGGAATATTAAGTACGAGAATACGAGGGAAAAATATAGATATCCTGAAACACGGGAAAAAAATATCACAATGTATAAAAAAATAAAAAATAGGGCAATAATATATGAAAATCCCAAAAAGGAATGGACTCACAGTTCCAATTCGGTGTACCACATCACGTCGGGCTCACCAATGAAGATGACACAGGTATTCAGTGTTTGACAACGCTTCTACCAGTAACACCTTCTAATATAATTCGTAACCACGCAGAGAAATCAAAAGACAGAGTCGAGGAGATCGGAAGAGTGTATTTGGCGATAACCAATATATCGGAATTCTCTGATCTAATCTGGCTAGCGATTGTGGTAGATGTTGAGCACGGCGTTACCACACGTGATTAGGTACGGATGCCTGACCGAGCGCCTTCAGCTAGATGAGTCCACTAAAACATGTGGTCAGCATCCAATGTCGAAAAATTACAGAGCTACTTATTTTAGGGATTTATTTACCGCTACACTATTAAACTCCCACTTAACCTCAGGCCTAACACAAACTTCAAGGGTAGCACCTTAATTTCAAAGACAGAGAATAGCAAAACGAAGTATAGGCATATCTTTCACTCTTTACGAATAGGTAAGTTCCGGAATTCACTGCTAGGTGAGCTAGTCCAAGGGACTTTCGGGGAGTGCTTTGTGAGAAAACTTGACATGTTCTAAACGATCAAGGAGAGTATCTCACTGAAACTTAATTTTTTTCTCTTATTGTTAAATTTGTCTGGGTTCTAACTTGGCGGCATCGGTGATCCGCGGCCACTAGATAAGGAAGCCCGTTAGGCGATGGTTTCTTCTATTCCGTCGATAATGATTTGAACCACTCGACAAAATATACACGTTTGCCTTCCATGTGTCGATAAAGGCAAACAAAAAGTGCGAAACGACTACATGACACCATTAAATAGAAGCGAAAAATCAAATATTATATGCTAGCCTTTTACAGTGATATTGGGTATTGAATATAGAGTTTTACACCACTTCAAGCCCGCGTCATATTCCGATTATTCGGCACGGTAGTTATGTTGAACCACTCGTTGTATCCTGAAAACTATCGACAGATAGGTGAAAGTTTCGTTATGGAGTACTACGATACCATGCAGCGAGATAGAAGCTCTCTCAAACTTTTTTATCACGTAGTTGGTTCACTCATTTAAATGTTTGTTATAGAACCAAGCAAGGATGACATACGAAGGTGATGTGTTAGTAGGTCAAGATAAAATTGGTGAAAAGTTTCTTGTAAGTTTTCTGTTGATTCAAATAGTATTTTTAAGTCACTTCCTGCTAATAAAATTCAGGTGGGTATAACTAATGTTGATGTTCATCCAAACGAAAATTCCGTTCTTATTTTTGTCTGTGGACAAGTTCAGGTAAGAAGTCATACTTCTCTGACACCCTGTAATTTGATAAATATACCCGGAACTGCAATAACATTTTTTGGCTCGATATGTGTTACAAAATGCTTAAACCAGTAGAAACTATACAAGTATATGCTTGAAGTCTACAAATATTCATAATGGCCAGTTTCCCTCCTCTAATGAACATCATGAGTACACTTAGCCTACACGGGGTCTGTGCACTATACTTATTCATAAATGTTTCAAACATACCATGAGCTCTATTCCCACCGAATAAATTATAATAGGGATGAACGATTTATTTAACACAAGTTGGCCGGTTATCAAAACTTTCCAAAACCATGTCTTTCAAAACAGTCCAGTATTATGTTACTGATAGATATCCCGTTTGAACTAATCAAGGATGTTACCCAAAGTAGATCTCGCAGTATTTGGATTGAAGTTGACCTACTGAAATTTTGGAGAAAAACACTAAGTAAAGCCATCAAGTTCATCGAGACTAATAGTTAAGAATCTTAAGTGTTAAATGTTACGATCTTCGCTGCATGTCTAAATGTAGGTGTCCATTAGAATTATGGTTTACAGTTAATGGTTACAGTTAGCAGTTAGGTTTTGGGTTTTTCATCACGAACTAACATCAGATAAAATGCCAAAAAGCTATTTAACCAAGTGGATGGACAATTTAGCGTCAAAGCTTGTCATAAGTCTTATTGGTTCTTCTATCAATTATAGCCTCACCGGTGTTCATGTAACGAAATATCGTTCCTGTCACTAATATTTTTCCGAACTTCTGTCAGAAATATCAACAGTGGTTGATCTAGGACTAGTGGTCATTTGATAGAATTTCTCATCCCTAACGTTCTCTTTTACAAGCCATGTCCATCATCTAAACTAACTTCCTTACAAGTTCGTCGCTCTTTTACTGACATCGGTTTTACGTCTTCACCGTTCTTATTAAGCCTTTAACTGGTAACTTGTTTGTATTTTCTATGCCCTTTCACCGTACTGCTTATAAACACCAAGTAGACAAGTTATCGATAATTCATACCCTTCTACTTTCATAACCTCTTGTACCATCTAATTGGAGTTCAGATCAAATATTGTGTGTCTGAATCAGGTTTGCCTGTATGCCTTAACATCATATATCTAGTTAGCTAAATTTTGGAACTCGCGATTGTGACTTATCTTTTAAAGAGATACTTTTCGTCTAGTTTTAGCAAATCAAGTGTGGGATGACTGAAGAGAATATTTAGGATTTCTATTCAACTTATTCAGACAGCATTTTTGTTTTCCGTCATTGCCAAATAAATTCTATATGTACTTAGATTTATATCCTAAAAGGTATCTCAAATAAGGTCTCAATAAATGGTCACCACGAACAAGATCGCATACCAATCTTAGAAATGTCCTTATGGTTTTCTGCTTCGTCTGGTTGTACTTGTTTGTTGAGTTTAACTTCCCACACAATTGTTATTAGATAAGGTCTACGCTACAAGAACTTAAAAATCAGTTAAGGTGCGTCTAAGTTTGAAAATATCTTATACTCTCAATAACTATATCTGTATTTTTCAATATGATTACTCGCATTCCCCTGTATTATCTTTTTTTTAGTGTGATGAAGATCAGGTACTACCGTTTTGTGAAGTGTTTTTCCTTCGCAAATTTAACCATTGTTTTCTCATCACCGATTCTATGTTTCGTTTGGGTTTGCATAATTTCTAACATGTATTCAACTATCCTAATACTTGTTATATTTGCATGTGCTTGTTAGTCTATCATTGGTTCTCTGTTGCAACAGAAAATTGATCTCACGGATAAACTGTTGCAAGCATATATTTATTGTACTATGATGTTTGTAAACAATAAATTTCTATCTACTGCTTCTTATTATTTATGTCATGCAAACTTACTCGAATACAGAAACACATGAGATTAGATTTTCGGTCAGTCAGCTTTTGCTTCAGTTGGTCCAAATTTTATTACTATGTGCTTTTCATCAATCACAGCAGCAAAAGCAAGTTGACCACTAGTAGATGTGCTGGTCATGTACGTGTTTCCTCAGTGAATCTCAGTTGCTTTAGAACTGTATTTAGTCCGTCTATCAACCAAAGGACGTGTTTACTGTACAGCAGTTCGTTCCGTCCTACTTTATAGCAGTGAAACATGACCGGTAAGAGTAGAAGATATTCGTAGGTTACTAGTATTCGATCATAGGTGTCTTCGAAGCATGACCCGTATATCCTGGGACCATCGAGTAAGTAACACAGTTGTTAGGAAACGGGTACTAGGTAAGGATGGCAAATCAATTGATGAATTAGTCAGGCTTCATCAGTTGAGATGGCTGGGACACGTGTTACGTATGCCCAACGACCGACTGCCTCGACGTGCGATGTTCAATTGTGTAGGAGTAGGTTGTAAGAAAGCTAGGGGCGGCCAGACCAAAACATGGCACAAATCCACGAAGTCACTGACAAGTGGACTGATTCATGTTGGCAGGTGTAGACTACCTGGTTGGGGACCGCGAGATGATAGCATCCGATGGTTAGAAACCCTGAATGACAAGGCTCAGAATCGTTTGCAATGGCGCAGGTGCATACACTCTTTGTGTTCTGCCAAATTCTAATCTGAATCCTCAGATTTGACATCGATCTATTCATGGTATATAAATGAGCATTTCAGCGTGGAAATCCTATAGGTCCTTGTACGCTCAGCCTTCATTAGTGGTAACTTCGGCTCAAACCATTGAGAAACGCTGATAGGTCTTCCGTAGCTAACGATTCGTTTGAAATAGTTTTCAGGGAAGAAACATCGAGCTCCAATCACCGCAAGTCGAAAACGTGTGTGTATTTTAGTGTTGTTATTAAACTTCGATTGTTAATGAGGTTTAAATAGCTTTGTAAATGTCTTGGGATTAGTACCATGCATCCGGTTCTAAATATTCGGATGTAGTACGAAAGAGTTCTGATTCCAGTGAGCAAGGCAGTGTGAAGATTCGTAAGAAAAAATAATGAATTAGTTAACAAATTTGCACCATATTTGTTTGGTCGACATTGAACCCATAAGTTCCTACTGCAGAATTCCAAATGATATTTTGTTCTGATAAGCAAATACACCTTGTTTCCATGTCAAAAATGATGAAAACTTGATTTAATGTTCCCCAAAACCCTGGATGGTTTATTTCCCAAAACTAATTCTTTGCCAGGGCAATCTCCGAACGCCTAGCGAATCGCCGATTGAAAGTGGATATCAAATATTTGGCATCTCATTAACTTCAATTTACAAAAGTCAGGGGAGTCCTACTCACTGCCTTCTCGTGGTTGGGGTGTTGTCTATTAAATCGAGAGGACAAAAAGCGAATGTCTGGTTCCTTAACTGGGTTGGTGGGTATGGGGACTCACGTAGGGGAAGGAGAACCGTAGTTCCAGATCAATGATGCACATTGTCTCCAGTAGCCCGAGGGAACAAGTGGAGTGTGAACCTTTTGTTGGTCACTGACTGCCATGGGGCTGTATCTCCTGACGTCGCTCCACTGCCCTTCGGATCAAGCCTTTTGTTCAAAGGCTTGGGGTGCCCCCGCCCCAAGAAAATCTGCTATCGGTTTGGGCATCCGTGTGGTATCTCAGCCCGCTCACAAATTAATGACAATTAAAGTTAAACGTAACGTCTTTCACTGAATAAATCCTGGTTGTATTTTTACTAACCAAATTATTTCTCCCTACGTTATTACTAGTGGTAGTATTTCGCTCATGCACCGATTTCTATCCGATGTTCTTTTTGTTATACGCACTTTATATTATCTATCTCCACAACCTTATTGTTATCGTGTGGCCCATATGTATTTGGTGCCTCCTTGTGCCAGTGTTTGTGTTCAAAGAGATAAATAATTGTTGGTCTAGATGAGAGTTTCGTCAAACATCTTTTCCGATATTTTTATTTCTTATATATCCGCTTATCAGTTAGTTAGTGTTGCCCTAGGTGCACCATGGAGTTATGTAATAACATTGTTGTAGTTGTGTGAACTTACCGCACTTGAATATATACGTCAGTCTCATCAAAATACTTGCTGTTGCTTTTATGCATTCGGTTCCAGACTCCATTTCAATTTTATGGGGGGAAAACGCACGTAAGGCTTGTCGTGTTTGACTCAGTCATAGTACACACTTCCTAGTACCTGTTCAAACATCCGTACGTAGCAAGTGTAAAGATTTACTCTCAACGGCCGCATAACATAGACGCAAGACACTTAGTTTATCTTATATTAGACTTGTCCGGGCGAGTATAAGTGATCCGTGACTGACAAGATGAGTAATTCACTGGAAGTAACTCTGTCCATACTTGAGCTCCTCGTACAATGTCTTCTGGGCAGGATTTGATATCGGGATCCCCTAGTGTATAAAACCTTGTCTATCAAATATAACTAGTAACTTTAAATGATTTATGGATGATGGAGATTGTTCGGATACTATAAGTTCGTTTTTGGTAGCGTTTGTCTTTCTTGTAAGGTATCAACCTGCATGGAACTGTTCCCGCTAATACCATCTAGCTGTCTTATAATGAGTCATATTATTAGGAAATTTGAAACTAGTATCTAAATAAACCCGACTAAATCTTTGCATGAGTATCGTGTGTATTTTTCTTGGGAATTTACTAGCCTACAACCTCAAACCGCTTTTCAGAAGACACACTAGTTCGTCAGTAACGCTGATGAGGACTTTTAGAACATAATATCAGCCCCAATAACTGCAGTTTAGTTAGATCTCATTTGTATTTGACTCTTTTACCTTAGATGTCCGACGTTATGACGTTCTGCTCTTTACAATAGCAACAATCTTGGTACTGCCAGATCGCTCTGCATATTATATCCATGCTGGACAAATGCTTGACCACTTTGTCGTATAAAATTCAATGTAGCACTTGTAGGTTATAAACCACTATCACCCTTATCGTTTCCCATTTTAATGTAATTGTGTACATCACAGTTAAGCCAAGAATAATTGATCGTAGGTTTGAGAGTAGAGTTATTGAGTAATGACCTCGATAACCTGTGGTACAGATAAGATGTTGATTTGTGTATCAAGGGATGAATACACCGTTCAAGTTCTAATCAGTGGAGTTTCTTTGATAATGGTATGCAGGAATCATAGGTTCAAGTCCGTGCACAACCCTCTCCTCAACTAATATAAAGTGTGTTTGTTATTAGCAGAGATTATTAAAGTTGTAATTATTAATGACCGAGCATGTGGGTTTGATTACTCATAAATTATATTCACACTTGAAATGAATTTAATAAGGCATCCGTCTGAAGTATAGTATTGAATTAAGTCGTTTGTTAATTTAGTATATACTTGATAACTTATCATCAAAGTTACAGAATATAAATACTAGTAGAGACGGTTTACAAGGGAAAGTAACCATTTTAATCCAGTTTACTCATCACTGCTTTTTCTGTTTTGATAATATCGAATTAGTTTATACGATGAATTGAATAGGAGGGTTACTTCCAACCACAATCATGCTGGGACTGTTATATGATAGATTCAAACCATTTGTTGGGATCCAGACACCCATCAATAAAATATTTTAGGAACTCGTCAAAGATTTTCATGTCATCTCCGTGTAAATTAAAATCAAAAGGGTGCTTGAGAATTTCATCATAAGTTTTAAAACTATTCATAGTTTTCCGCAAACCAACGCCGTCCATTTGTCGACGTTTTTTATAGTCAGTACCTGCATTAATTCTTTGAGAATAAATTAGTATTATAATTAGAGTAATTAGTATTGAGTTATTCATATTTCTTTTGAAATAAAAATTCCAAATTTGATACGTCTGATAAAGATTTAACAAAAATGAGTTATTAGTAGTGCCTCATCACATATATATTTATAATGTTAGTATAAAGGCGAGGTTGTTTGTCTTATGCACTTTGATTTGTTAACTTATAGGCATCTGTTGTTTTTGCTCTACTTATGCACTTAATATGGATTGTAATTGAGTACAATAACTGTCGTTTTGCAATGCACTAAATACACTTAGTACGTAAAATTGCAAAAAGCTAATTCTGATCAAAACAGCTTTGTCGAGTGGATGTATTGATTTCATTATTCATGTAAAAACTAGTATACCTACCATCATACTATAAATTTGCCCTTTTTCTAATTGTGTTCAGTTATACTTGAACTCATAAACTGCCTTGACTACTTGATATATGTATCTAAATATCACTGTATATTGAAATTAAGCCTGGTGATCTAACTAAAAACAATACTGTTGTAATTTATACTGGGAATTCTCAGCATTTTAAAGTTACCGTAGTTATATGGCTGGAGATTGAGGTTTAAAGGTTGTTACACGTTAACTCGGTATTTCAAATATATGGATCCAGATGTTATCAGTCTTGTGATACCTCATCTTCCTTAGTGATGTTATGACTGAGATTTCAAAATAGAAGGGATCCTTATAACATGCAAATTATGGGTATTTAAGTGATAAACTCATTGTTAACGAGACAGAAGACAGTTGGTAAATAAATATTGATAAGAAAATCTTCCGTGTGCTGTTCATGTTATCCAACTGTCTTCATACGATGTCAATGAAGGTATTAAATCGTGTTGTGCAATAAGTCTATGGAATCAGATAATATAGACTACTGGATTTCAACTGTGATTGTGATGTACTTGGCTTAAAGCTCCGTGCTCATTTCGTATGTTGTAACCACAACTTTAATGCCTATAGCTGATATTCAGAACCATCGTAATTCCCACTTCACAAAGTAAGAAGACTGGTGCAATGCACATTTATTTACTCTTCAAAATAAGTGTATATTGTATTAAAAGATTAGTATTTGAATGAAGAATAATCTTTTCGATAGATTCTCTCCAGGTTCTACAATTGTCGATAGTGTAATAAAAGGACGAAGATTATCGGAACTATGTGATGTATTAGCACAGTACATTTCGAACAATC